TCAGCAGGAGGTCAATGCCAGGTAGGTTATTGACTAAATCTTTAAGACTGTCATCAGTCATCAAAGCACAGATAAGTTGGCTGTTTCAGAGGTGTGAAAATATCCTAACACCAGTTCTAATACCCAGGTGTTTATATCCCATGTCTACAACAAATACACAGACTACAGGGCTGAAATCTTTACACATCGGTGACTCGTAATTCTTTGCTCTAAAGAGCCCTGCCACATCTCAGAAGTTCAGTGAGGTGTAGAGTGTACATGTCCTGAGCAGCCATGTTGTTATGGGTGTTTCTGACTCTTGCCCCCCGCTGAAAGATGTATAACAGAAATCTTTTGGGGACATGGTACATTACAGCTTACATGCAAAGAATTCTGAAAATGTTTGGTATTTGGCCAGCCCTTACCTGGTGCTCCACTTCCACAGAGGTTTTTCTCTGGAGAACTTTCTCCTGCCATTCCTACATGTGCCTCGTGAACTTGGCAGGTCAGTAATAACTATAGTTTTGCATACCCCTTTACCATACTGTTCTTCCTACTTTTGCTGTGCATTTTCTTTCCTTTTTGGGAGATTGTGCTGAAGTTCACTAACACCACAGCCTCTCCACTGCTCAACATTTCACATAACATATTACCTCACTCCTCTGTCTTCCCACTTTTTAGTATTTTTAGTACAGCTAGAGGATCCATCGAAATAAAAACTCATTCACAATTGCTGTTTGTACAGACCAAGAGTCAATTATTTCGCTATGGTACTCCAAAATGTGGTGGGTTTGGTGCAGTCACCAAAGTTGTCAGAGGAAATGGCTGTACATCACATATCAAGGACTCTCAGATTATCTTGATACACTCCCTGAAGTTAGAAACTCAAACAATATCTGTGACAGGCACAACTTTTCCAAAGAAATAAGATGACGTGTCCCAAGCTGCTGGTTTACTGGCTCTGCTCTGCTCCAGATTACTTCAGCCAGGAAACCCTAGCAGGTTTTGCTACAGAAGACTACTTTGGACTAAATTCCTCACTAGTGGAAGGCAGCTCTAAACGTCCATCTTTCCATGAGGCAGCAAGTCATCAAACAGACTTTGAGGAAGACTAAGGGACATGGCAGGATACCTTCTTGTTTTCTCCAAGTGACCACTACTTGACTTCCACTGGATAATTCAGAGATGGCAACATTTTCACCCCAAACACTACAGTTTGTTTTTATCTTAATCTTCTAATGGAACAATATTCTACAAAGAAAATTTCTCCCCATCTCTTTGCATTCCACTCACTTTGGTGGTTCAAGAACATAGATGTCACCATTGTTGATTCTCCAACTGAATGGAGAGAAGTGTTTAGTTCATGTGTTCTGTAATACTGGGTTGCAGAGAATAGAAGAAATATCATGGGATAGCAAAGAAGGTCAAATTAATTTCTTTTTTTTTCCACAGCTATGAAACACTGCACATACGTGCAAGACGTCACTTTGATTCTTTTGAAGTGCTGATTTAATGTCTTTTAGTATCACCTTTGATCTAGAATGGAAATTAAATGACAAGATAAGAACCATGATTCACCAGCTTATGCAAAAGGATTGCATAAAGTAAAATGATGCTGCGTTCTCAGAAAACAGTGTTACTGTTATGACCTTGTCCTCCATCCTGAGGATTTCAGAAGTCTTGCATAATGAGATGCGGACATTTAGAAAATTCCCATTATCACCGAAACGCACACCTCTGGAGTAGGGATCAAGATGTGTGGGCTCGGTTTTTAGCTCTGCCAACACATTTGTTGTATAAGTTTAGGCAAGTCATCCAAACCCTGTGCCTCTGTTTCCCTTTCTATAAAACATGGATAACAGAATATCTTCTCCCACAGATTTTCTCTCTCTTGTTTATTTAGATGATGTGCCTATTTTGAAAGGGGTTATCTCTTTTTAGGTGTAGAGGGATCCTAATTTGAGATGCAAGGTAAATCTTAGAAACAGTGAGTTAATTACCAGTAAACTAGATTTGGGGACCAGAAGGTGAAGAAAAGGATGTCTTTCCTTTCTGTCTGTAAGTCCCCAGGTACTCTGTGACTTTCGGCCTATTTCTTAAAGGTGTCATACCATAATGGAGCACTGTAAACCAGCATGTTGTTGAACAAGGAAGATAAGCAAATATTAACTAGTTCTTTGTTGGCTAAGCGGCAACCTGCTTGTGCTTTCAAAGAAGGTGGAGCCTCCCAGGAAAAATAGTGTGATACCATGTGATTTAAATACTTCAGTACAATGCAAAAAGATTATCTTGCAATTTAAGTGCTTGCTTTTGCACAGATGCTGATGTCCTTTTAGCTTAGTGTTTTGTTGTTAACATTTGAAAGTATTTGAAGTATCAGAAAGCTAAAATAGCTACACATGCTAATGTGTGCTGATGAGAATTAGAAAAATTACGTTTACCTAGTCTTGTCTCAGCAATGTGATGTGGATTATAAGCAGCTGATACAGGTGCTATCTGACTGTAAGATATCAGTGGAAGGCTGACAATTTCGGTGATAACATGTTTCAGACTTCCCTAGATTTTCATCTTCCAAGTATCAAATCCAGGAACAAGCCACTTTTCCAACCAAGTGCAGCAGCTGCTATGACTTGTTTTCTCTGCCCACATGCTGGCTTGCCATCTTTCTAAGTACACACAGTTCTCTGCTTGCTTGAGTTTCTGTTCACCTCCACTTGGCTAAAACATGGTCCATTTCGCTGAGTTTGTCTCAGCTTGTTGCAAGTGCAGTCCTTTGGCCATTACAGTTTCTATATTTTTGCTTGACTTACTTGCCGAATCCCAGCTTCAGAGAACACCGCTTTCTATATACTTCCACTGTCGTTCTTCACTATCGTGTGCACCGAACTTACCCTCGGTGTTTTTTAAACATGCACCTCAAGATCATGGGATGCATGTTTCACAAGCCTGAGATGGAGTCTCAGCTTATCCTGAAATCTGATGTAACACCTTTGCCCATAGACAGCGCATGCTGGTGGAGCTTGGCAATGATTGCATCTGTTTTCACACAAAGAAAAAAATTAAAACAAAAAGAATGCACCTCGCTCCTCCTCAATGGATCAATTAGCCCTTTTCATACACCTGCAGATGCTCCACCACTTTTGTGGGCTCCTCTATGCTTAGGTCATGTTCAACTCCAACATTTGCTTCATACTTCATACAACTGGTTTCTGTCTTGTCTTATCATGCAAATGCTCTTGACAGACTTGAGTTAATTAGTTTGCACTGTATTCCTAACTGATCTTTATGCCAATTTGTAATCATGGGTCAGACTCAAGTACACATTTCTGGCACTCCCTGATCTCACTGTGAGCACTAGCGAGGTGGGCGCCCAGATAAGATCACTTGCGCTCATCCTGCTGCCCTGCAGGCGCTGAGTGTCATCACCAAGCTCCAATGCTCATACCCAGTTAGGCTGTGGAGGTGGTGGGCATGCTAGAAAGGAAGTAATTCTGGTGAAGTTTATGGGACTCTTACAGTCTGTCACCTGCTTTGCAGTGGTTTTCTCTTCCTTAGTCCAAGACTGCAGGCAGCCTTGGGTGAAAGAATGACTTTTTTTGGTCATTGATGTGTTCACTTGCTCCCCCTCAGCTGGAGGTTAGTACCAGAGGTTTTTACAAAAGCTCATGTTTCTTGACTCTATTAATGGTGTTACTTCTCCTAGAGAATTTCCCATGTGCAGGAGGAATATCTAGCCAGGATGAAGTGCCAGGAGAAACAGTGTATTGACTCCTCTGCTGGCTGCTACTAGCCCTTCCAGTGACTCTGTTTCCCAAAAGGATAAGGAACCAGAGGATGGGAGAGGAGGACCATGGTGGCACAGGCTGCCCAACACCTTCCAGCTGCTCTCCTTAAACAAATGAATTATCAGGTGGCCACACAGAGCTGCACCAAACTCCCAGCCTGGCCCACCTTCACCATCATTAGTGTTTACTTGCTAGTTTAAGGCAGCCCCTAAATCCCACTGCCGGAGCTGATCCCCCTACCCCACTCCTGTGGACAAGCAGACAATCAGTGAGGGAATCTGCCTCCTCTGACAGGAGAGGAATTGCCCTGAGGCACCACGAGTGGAAGCAGACCTCTCCCAGGTCCTCAGGCACCACCAGTGACACAGGCCTGCAGTGACGCAGCCCTCCCCACTACAGTTTAGTACAAGGTGAAAGAGTGAAACTCTCTCCATCTCCACTGGATCTCACATAGCTCTGAATACCTGAGTAAAGGGGTCTCTGCGACAGGCTGCTCTCCGAAACTGTGGCAGCCTACATGGGTACCAGCTGATACCTCATACTAAGAGCTGACCTTTGCTGCTGGAGAGCATGTTTGGGCTTGTTAATGGAGCAAGGGTGAAGAGGGGGTGTCAGTTCTGGCTTGACATACTCAGCCTCACTGGTGCTGGGTGTTTGCAACACTCCACCTGGACTGCAGAGGTGAATTTGAGCTGTGTGTGAGTTTCAGGCTGACAGGTGATTTCTTCCCAGAGACAGAAACTTCTCTGCTGGGTGTTGTCCTGCCAGTTCAAGAGGCTGTGGGTAGAGGGATCCCTGTGATGCAGCTCTCAGAGCTGAGGTAGGACAAGGTGAAATCTTGGGGGGGGGGTGTGTGTGTGTGTGTGTGTGTGAAACATGACTGTGCTCATCAGTTATATTTTCTAACTGTAGAAATCAGGTGCATGTGGAAGCTGTCTCAACTGCAAAAGGGAACCTGTTGGTCTTAGCTGGGAGTCAGAAGAACAATCACACCGCTCCCTTTATCCTTCCTTTTGT